TGGGGGCAGGGGAGAGCGGACACGAGGGGCTCTGCTTGCCTACATGGCCCAGCTTCCTAGGGCGTCAGGAGGACAAAGTAGGTGGGAGAAATGAGTAGGGATGAAGGATGTAGGGTGACAAGGGCAACTCATGGAGAGACAGATGGGTCAGGCTCCTTAACATGCTGAAAATACGTTGGAGGTGCCTGCTCAGCCCACTGTCAAGACTCTCAAAACTGCCCCCAGGCCCCGTGCTGGGCCTGACAGCAGCCGTGTTTGTACATGACCCTGGTGGCTGGACCAGGCATGGACATCTTTCCCCCAGCGATGGGGTGCTGGGGGGCAGCCAGACAACCTGAGTGGAGGACCAGCAACCAGGAACTGGGCACAGGAAGGCAGAGATGGGGGAGAAAGAGCAGACGCACAGAGAGGGGGAGGGACAGAGGCCAGTGATGGCATGGTCCAAAGAGCAGGAGATCCTGCAAGAGAAGGCCAAGCATGGACCCCATGGAGTTGGCAACATCTGGCCCCACCGGGGCCTGGCTGCCTATCCACCCACGCGTGGGTCAGGACCCACAGCCAATCCAGCCCTGTCCTTCTGGCATCGGCTGTGGACCCTGCCTCTGCACAGCTTGGAAGCAGGTCAGGCTGGGCTCTCCTGTGTGGAGACTTCAAAGGGCAGGATTTCTTAAACTTTTCCATGAAAATCCCCAGTAGATGGAGAACATGAGTCAACTGGGCCACATTTTGACATGGTCTAGGAAATGTGTGCAAATTGTGTGGTTCACCTGAAAGATTCATGGTTTAAAAATGGGCTCGTTCATATTTACGAACGCAGTTTCCGTATGCTCTGAGAGCTCCTTCTCCAGGGCTGGGCAAGAGTACTGCACGCAGAAGGCCCCTGATCAGTAGTCCTTGTGGCTGCCCCTGAGTCACCCAGGGCCCAGCCTGCATGGGCCCTGCAGTCCTGGTGGCTCTGCTGAGGCTGGGTCCCCAGTCCTGCTCACCACCCAGCCACCTCTCTGGAGTCCGGTGACGGGCAGCCCCCGTCTGACCCCAGACCTCTGTCTCCTGCCCTCTCCACTCTACCCCCTCACTCAGAGACACAAAGCATTACCCCTCAGGAGCTTCAGTCTTGACACAAGATGGAAAAGAGGTTGACTTCGGGGCACTCGTTTCCCACTGCAAACAGTCAGGCAATACCAAGGGCCCGGCTCCCTGCTAGGAATGCGGAAAGGAAAGCAGAACGAGAGCATGACACACAGTGGACACGTGTGCAGATTGCCCAGCACAGCGCAACTGGGAGCCCCGGGCAGTGCTTGAGAAACGGAGGTCCCTTCTGCCACCCCGACCTCCTCTGCATCCTGGGCACACTCCGGGTCCTGATGCACAGACAAGCGGGTGGGAGGACCGCTGTTAAGGCCACAGCTTTGCCAGGTACCCGAGTTCCCTCGCGGGGGTGCGTGTGCCTGGCTTCTACTTGTGTGCTTGTGGAGAAGGCCTGTGGCTGACCCTGCGGGGGTCTGAGGAAGGCTCCTGGCTTCCAGAAGCTCAAGCCTTTGGCCCGGGCTTGGAGGTCCATCTGAGTCTGCAGAGGCCACTTTACACGACACCAAGAGGCACTCAGAAAATGCACGTTTTTGTTGCCCTAGAGTCTAAAATAAGGAAAAAGCACTGCCCAGTATATTCCTCTGTGTACAGGTCTCAGCCTGGGCAGCTCAGATGTGAGACCTGTTACCTAAAGCTATCCTGCTCCATGCCAGGACTCAGACAGAAGGGGGATCTGGGACAAAAGGCTGCCCCACAAGTCAGGTATCAGCTGAGGGCTGTGCCCCCTTTCCACTTTACTAGGGTGAGGAGCCCCTGGTTAATGCCAAACCAGAAGGATTGGATGAGCTAGAAGGAAGGAAGGCAGGGGGACAGAGGGGCCCAGGGGGAGACTGCCGAGGAAACTCCCTTTTCCTGCTGTCTCCTGTTAACAGTCCACCGCAGAAAGGGAGGCCGGGGTCAGTGGGTGTGGGTGCCGAGCTGTGGGCTTGTGTCCCTCCCAGATCTCCCCTGACCTGATGAAAGTGATGACTGCCTCCCTCCTCAGTTCAGGGGTCAGGAAAGAGT